GCTTTGGTCAAAGTGAATCACTTAAACATCATTGATCATTTATTGTTGCCTCGAGACTGAAAATGAATGATATACTTGACAAAAAGCAAATGAAACTTGTTGTTGAGAGGCTTTGATTTTATCAATCTTCTAATGAGTTTTCAAATGCAAGTTCAATATGGTCATTCAACTAACCTCTAATTACTAATTCGTTAACATTTGACTTTTACTTTATGCCCTTCATTTTTCGCTTTTATTTAATGCCTTTACTTTATGCACCATTTTATTTTAGCATTTACATTTCATGCTATTTTCATCTTTGCTCACTTGAGCATTTACTTTTATATCATTTTTATTTTTCTCACTTGAGCTTCTCATTTCTTTTTGAAGATACCTAATAATCAACTTGAACCATAAATTTTTTTATTGTTACTTGGACTATTTGGTTACTATCCTTGGCATTATGGAGTGATGGACTTCTTGGACTTAGGATTAGAGACCTTGGCCTACCTTGATACCTTCTGACTTTCATTTCTATTTTGTCTGGAGTTATTGGGGTTTACCCCAAGACATTGGGTTGTTTTTTTGCTTTGTGTGTGTGTTGTTTTGATTACATGCTTTGTCTGTGATCGAGAATACATCTGTATACAGCCGTTAGTCTGCCCAATTTTTGTGAAAGACCTAATGCATTTGAAGCTTGGTTTTCTTAAGAGGTTTATTATCACTACTTGTTGGTTTCAATCCAAAGGATGGAAATTCTACATTGACTCATTGTGTCAAGTGTTGGCTTCTTGTTGGTTAGACGGTTCTTTTCTCTAGCTTTTATCTTATGCTTTAGGATAGTCCCTTCATCTCCTACAATCTTATTTAATTTAAAAAATCTTCTCCCTCCTTTTCAAAATTATTCTTGTTTTCTAAACTTGAACCTATTTCACAATAAACTTGAGCAACCTTGGGCATTTGAGAACCCTAGGATAATGTCTTGAAGAAAAAGGGAGGGAAGTTTTGGGGTACAACAATAGCTAGAAGAGATTTTAATGATAAACCTCTACTATTGATGGATTCTGATTCTGATGGTAGGTATTTGGTAGATTGGTGGTATATGGACACTGGATGCTCAAATCACTTACTTGGAAACAAATAATGACTGATTGATTTTTATTTCAGAAAGAGGACAAAGATTATATGTTTTGATGATAGATGTCTTAATGCATAAGGTATGGGAAATGTCAAAGTCAGAGTAAAGAACGGAAGAACTATTTTGATCAAAGATGTTTGGTATGTTCTTGGCATGAAGAGCAATCTGATGAGTGTAGGTCGGCTCATTGAGAAAGGTTTATTAGTTATCATGAAGAATAATATCTTGAAGTTGTATGACTGCAATCAAAAGGTGATTATGAAATCTAAGCAATGAAGCAAAAAAATATTCAAGATGAATGTGGAGATAGTTGAAACTAAATGCCTTAGTGCAGAAGGTGCTAAAGGTGACAGGGAGTTGTGCCACAAGAGATTGGGGCATATGAACTTCAAAAGCTTAGGGCATCTGAGTTTCAAGAAGTTGGTACATGGCATTCCTAATATTGTGAAGCCTGATAAGTCATGTGATATATGCATGAAAGAAAAGCAATCTAGATTACATTTGTGTCAGAAGTAGCCCAAAGAACAAAAAATGCTTTAGGAGTGGTGCATTCTGATGTATGTGGACCATTTCTAGTACCCTCACTTGGAGGAAACAAGTATTTTGTGTCTTTTATGGATGATTTCACAATAATTACATGGGTAGCATTCATAAAGTTTAAGCATGAGGTGTTTACTGATCTTAAAATTTCAAGGTGAAGTCTGAGAAACAGAGTGGTCAGAAGTTGAAAGTTCTCAAAACTGATAGTGAAGGTGAGTATAACTCTACAGAGTTCCAGAAGTTTTGTGAGGAGAATGGAATTGAGCATGAGGTTATTACTTTATAAACTCATCAACACAATGGCCTTGCTGAAAGAAGAAATATAACTTTGCTTGATGTGACAAGGTGCATGCTGAAAGTGAAGAAGTTTCCTCACACCTCATGGGGAGAAGTTGTTTCCACTTTACCGTATGTGCTAAATAGGTGTCCAACAAAGAAGTTTAAGGAAGCCATTCATTTTGAAAAGTGGATTGAAGATAAGCAAAGTGTGAGTCATTTCAGAGTATTAGGTTATGTTTGTTACAAACATGTTCCAGATGCTAAGAGAAAAAAGTTGGATGATAGAAGCAAAGTAATATTGCTGATAAGGTACCACATCACATTTGCGTATAAGCTTTATTGTCTAGTCACTAATAAAGTTGAAGTCAGCAGAGATGTCATTGTGAAGGAGTCAGAAGCATGGGATTTTAGCAAGTCTCAATCCAACTCTCGTGTAGTGTCAACACTGAAGGTAACTTCTGAAGATACTACAAAATCTAAAGATTCTGAAGACGAGTCAGAGTCATAAGGAGACTCTGAAGACGAGTCAGAGTCAGAAGATGATTCTAATTCTAAAGGTGAATTTGATTTTGATCCAAATTCTGATGATGATCCAGAATCTGGTGGTCAAGACTCTAGGGGTCATGCTTCTGAAGGTGGAGCTTTTAAAGATGGAGATTTTGAAGGTGATCCAACTTATGAAGGAAGTCTAGAAGTTAATACTATTCCATAATTTGAAGAAGATTCTGAACAAGTCCAGAGGCCACAAAGAATCAAACAAATACCAAAAAGATTTGCAGAGTTTGACATGTTATAAGATACTAATATAAACTTTGAAGAGGAATTCATTCAGTGTTTCGTGTTAGTAGACTCTGAACTAGTGAGTACTGAATAAGCCCAAGAAGAAAGTATGGTTGAAGGCCGTGTAAGAAGAACTTGAGGCTATAGAAAGAAACAAGACTTGGGAGTTGACTAAGCTTCCAAAGGAGAAGAAAATAAGGTTAGTAGCTAGAGGATTTCTATAGAAATCTAGACTAGACTACTTTAAAGTGTTTGCGCCTGTGGTAAGGCATGAAATAATTAGATAGGTGATTATTATAGTTGCTAATAGAAATCGGCTTTTGATGCATCTGGATGTGAAATTTTTATTTTTGAATGATCCATTATAGGAAGAGGTGTATGTGTCACAACATCTTGGATTTGTAAAGACGAATCAGGAAGGGATGATGTACAGGTTACATAAAGCGTTGTATGGACTGAGACAAGCTCCTAGAGCTTGGAATATGAAAATTGATTCATTTTTCAAGATGTAAGGGTTCAAAAAGTGTGAGATAAAATATGGTGTTTATGTGCAGCATACTTATGGAAGAAATATGATTCTGATGTGTCTTTATGTTGATGACATATTGCTAACAAGGAACTGTTTTGATGAGATAGCCAAGTTCAATAAGGTGTTGATGAATGAGTTTGAGATGAGTGATCTGGAAATATGATATATTTTCTAGGGATGTAGATTATGTACTATGAGAAACGTATAATTTTACATCAGTTAATGTTTGAACTTGAACTTCTGAAGAGATTTGAGTTAACAAATTGCAAGATTGCAATCACACCTGTTGAGATGAATCACAAGTTGGATTCTGATGCTGAGGGTGTTGATGTAGATGCTACAACTTTTAAATAGTTGGTTGGCTCATTGAGATATCTGTGTAACACAAACACTGACATTTGTTATGCGGTTGAAATGATGAGTAGGTTTTTGAAAAAACCAAAGTGTTCACATTACCAAGTTATTGTCAGGATACTGAGGTACATTAAAGGAACTCAGAGGTATGGAGTTTTATTCCCTTCTGGTGTTAAATATGACTCAGAGCTTATATGTTATTCAGACTCTGATTAGTGTGAAGATAGAATTGTCAGAAGAAGTACTTATAGATATTTTTTCTAGTATATGAGAAGTCCCATTTCTTGGTGCTCCAAGAAGCAATTAGTGGTTGTATTGTTAACTTGTTAAGCTGAATATATTGCAAGTGCTTTGTCTGCGTGTCAAGTTGTTTGGTTGATAAATTTATTGTAGGATCTGAAGATCAAAGTTAGCAAACCTGTGAAGTTAATGATAGACAACAAATCTACCAAAAGCCTTGTCAAGAACCCTGTGCTGCATGGGAGAAGCAAACACATTGACACAAAGTTCTATTTTCTGAGGAATTAGGTCTAGAATAGAGTGCTAAAAATTATACACTATAGCACCTAGAAGCAACTTGAAGATGTTCTGACGAAAGCTGTCAAGATTGAACACTTTGTCCATTTGAGGGATGCGTTTGGTGTTGTAGAGTTTAATTAGCTGAATATGAATCAAGGGATGATGTTAGAAGTAAGACTTATTCATAAGCGTTATTAGTCAAAAGCAAAAGCTTCTGAGGTGAATGTTCCAAAAATACTGCTTAGCTTAAGTTCTGGATAGTAGTACTAGTTTATTATGCCTATGTGATAGTTAGTTTATTAAGCATTTTAGGTTTGCCTACGTGTTAGATTTCATTGATGTATTTAAACATCTTGTTGTAACTAATTTATCATAAAATGCATTAATATAATTTCTCTCTCAAAAAAAAGTTTATTACACTCTTCCATCTCCATCTTCATTTTCAACTTTGTGATCCAACAACTTCCAAATGAAATATTAGTTCTAAATTTATAAAATAAATTGTTATCTTTCATAGTTGAAAATATTTAAAATCTGAAATACTTTATTTTTAATAAATTTTAATTTTATTCATATTTTTAATTTATTGAAAGTGGGCACTTAAAATTTATTGGAGAAAATGAGGTATATTTTTTGAGATTTTAGGGAGAAAAATGAGGTTATTGAGATGAAAAATTCTTTTTTACTACTAGTATTTTGTGCAGCCATAATTGATTTGACACTAGAAAGAATCCAATGAGCATGACATATCCAATGACACTCTTGTAACCTTGCTTTTTCCCCCACTTACCTCCATTATAACTTCTATAAAATCATAAACAAGTGATGTGACACTCAAACTCACACCCAAGGTAAACTCTTGAAACTTCTTTGCTAGAAAACATGGTGGTGAAAGTGTACGGCCCAACCTATGGTTCTCCGAAAAGGGTGTTGGTGTGTCTCTTTGAAAAAGAAGTTGAGTTTGAAGCTGTTGATATCGATATCTTCAAGGGAGAGCATAAACAACCTGATTTCCTCAAACTGCAGCCTTTTGGAGAGCTTCCTCTTGTTCAAGATGGTGATTATACCCTCTATGGTTAGTTACATCACCCCTTTACTATTTTCTGCAGTTTTTTCTGGATTCCATGTAGTTAAAGGTTACCCTTTAGTTTTCCTAACCTTGTAGATCCCTAATATTTTCAACTTTGTATCTAATTGTTCAGACTAATAATAGAATAATTTGACACGAAATTTTCAGAATCTAGAGCAATTATCAGATACTATGCAGAAAAGTACAAGAACCAAGGAACTGATTTGTTGGGAAAGACAATAGAAGAAAGAGGTCTTGTGGAACAATGGCTTGAAGTGGAAGCACATAGCTTTCATCCAGCAATCTACAACTTGGTGGTCCAGGTTCTGTTTGCTCCATTAAAGGGTGCTCCTTCTGACCAAAAAGTGATTGAAGAGAGTGATGAAAAGCTGAAAAAAGTGTTGGATATTTATGAAGAAAGACTGTCAAAGACAAAGTACTTGGCTGGTGATTTCTTCAGTCTTGCTGATCTTAGCCATCTTGCATTTGGTCACTATTTGGTGAATCAAACTGGGAGAGCAAGTTTGGTTAGAGAGAGGAAACATGTGAGTGCTTGGTGGGATGATATTAGTAACAGACCATCTTGGAAGAAGGTTCTGGAGCTATATAACTACCCTGTGTAATGGTTTGGTTTGTGAACAACATTGCAAAGACACCTAATAAGTGATATGGTTTGAGAATAAAATGGAGGCTTCTGCAATGTACTGAACTTATGTTTGATATCTTGTTTGGTTTGTTCTAGTTAATAAGCAATGTATCAAATATATGTATACGGTTTTGTTAAATCTGGTTTCAGTAATAAAGTTTGATGTTTGGTCATTTTAAATTATTATGAGCTGTGATTTCAAGAACTTATTCGACTATATCTTATCATTTGGTGCAAGACTCTTGATTTTCAAGTGGTGGAAGATGATATTGGAGATACTCCAGAAGTTGTGAACAAAGATATGGAAAATTTTAACTCAAGATGGTTTGACATGGTGGATACGAAAGCAAATCATGAGAACAATGATGAGCAAGAAGAAGAGTTCATACTGGAATGATAGAAATTCTCTAATTCACTTACCGACCATGGAAGCTAAATTTACTTGGAATAGTGGTGAAAGGGGATTAGCTAACAAAAGGGTTGAATATCTAAGGATGGATGGTTTAATTATGGAGATAGAACGTTGTCTTCTTCCATAGAACTGCTAAAATAAAAGGTACCAAAAGACTATTTTTTTATTGATTCATGAAGATAACTTTATTTAGGATCCTTAGGAGATTGAAAGGCTCTTTGTACCATTGTTTAGATAATGGTAGTGTTGATGACTTTATCACTCACCATGTTGATGATAACATGAATGTTATGCTTACTAATTTCTCAATAAGCTAGACGAAGAAGGAAATATTTTAAGAAATAAAGCTAGGCTAACTGTGAAAGGTTATAATCAACAAAAAAGAATAGATTTCGATGAAACCTATGCTCTTTTAGCCAAATTAGAAGCCATAAGTTAGCCATTGGTGTTGCTAGTTGATGCATGAAGAGTACTACTCAAAAGGTTTGATATGGAAAGATCAAAAGTACTAGCAACACCAATGTCAAAATCATACTCCTTAGATAAAGAAGATAACGGAAAACCAGCCGATGAGAGAAAATGTTGAGATATGATCGGGTCATTACTATATCTAACTACATCATGACCTGATATAATATTTTTTGTATGTATGTGTGCACATTTTCAAGCATCTCCTAAGGAATTACATCTCGGCATCGTTAAGCGCATAATGAGATATCTCAGCGACATACAACAAATAGGTTTATGGTACCCTATGAGAACCGACTGTAACTTAGTAGGGTACTCCGACTCCAACATTGCAGGATGTAGATTAGATAGAAAAGTATTAGTGGTACATGTCACCTGCTCGAAAACTCTCTAGTTTCTTGGCATATCAAGAAACAAGCGAGTGTAGTTATCCACACAGCTAAGGCGAAATACGTTGTTGCATGAAACAGTTGTGCTTAAATCATATGGATGAAACAACAACTATGACTATGGTCTTAAAATTGGAGTTGTACCAATAAATTGTGACAACACCAGTGCAATAAAACTCATAAAGAACCCTATACTTCACTCCCTGCCAAACATATTGACATTAGACACCATTTTATTAGAGATCATGTAGAAAAAAGAGAATGCATGGTTAATTTCGTAGACTCATATAATCAACTTGCATACATCTTCATCAAACCACTTCCTAAATAAAATTTCTTTTTTATAAGAATAGAACTAGAAATCTTAAATCAATCATGCATAAATAACTATATATGAATATATATGCTCATTACCATTTACCTTTTTGATTTTGAGAAAGAGGGAGAAGTATACTCTCAAGGGGATAGCATATTTGTTTGGAATTTATCTCTCTACTTTGTATCCTTCTCTCACTAGAAATTTTTTTCTTCACTTAAGGTTGCCTTAGTACTTTAGAGTAAAATTTTATTTATGAGGAGAATACTTTTGTAAGTGGCCGTGCAGGTCGTTTATAGTCTTAAGGGTGTGATACCTTTAAGAGATTGAGTTTTAGTTCTTAAGATAAATCATAAATCTCTATTATTTGTTTATTAAGTTTCGTCGGAAAAAGATTTGTTTTAGTAAAAGAGATCAGTCAAAAATATCTAATTGTCTCGATAGAATAAGTTGGGGTAAAAGCTGTCTATAGGTTGGGGATAAGTATGTTCAAAAATATTAAGATCATATTGTATTAAGGTTCGTGGGTGTAACCTTTAAAAGCTCACAATTCTACATGAAAAATCTCAAGAAGACCTCTTGGGGACATGATTGGACCAATGTTCGGCGAAATCTAGATAACTTTCTAGTGCAATCTTTCTATCCTTACTCTCTTTATTTTACTACAATTTATTTTCATTACTTTATTTCAGCTACGATTATTCAATAAAACTTTACTAATGCGATCTTAATCGAAAAAGGTAAAATTAATCATGTTTTTCAAATACCACAATTCACCCCCCTCTTGCTTGAGGTCACTTGTTCAACAACCTTCATCATCAAACCCTGACAATCTACTATTCTTCAAACCCAAACCATCTTTATTCTTCAAACCCTCATCATCAACCCAACACCCTAACCAAAAACCCTTATTTTTCTACACAAAACCTAATTTCTTTTCTTTTCACATTCATCTTCCTTCTTTCTAATCAATGGAAGAAACCACTTTCACCGATTTCTCAACAAACCCACCAAATACCTATTACACTGACCCTAATGAAAATCAACCTTGATTCTTGTTACTCCTCCACTAGATAGAAAAAACAACATTTCTTGGGAAAGATATATGAATGTTTCTCTAATTTCCAAAAACAAACTCAAATCAATCGATGGTCCTTTTCTAAAATCTAGCGTTGCCAACTTCCTTCATGATCAATGAGTCAGTTGCAACAATATTGTTATCTCTTGGCTACAATGTTCTATCTTTGAAACTATTGCACAATCAATTTTATGGTTCAATGTGAAAATTTAGTTTGGGAGAGTCTTCACAATTGTTTCTCAAATGGTGACATCTTTCGTATATCTGACCTTTAAGATGATCTTGTTTGTCTTTATCAAAGTAATCTTGATGTCTCATATTATTTTACCCAATTAACATCTCTGTGGGAACAAATTAGCACATATAGACCAACATGAGATTGCACTTGTTCCATTCCTTGCACCTATGGCACAAACTTCGATCTTCGTAAGTTTTGCAAACAAGATGAAGTTTTGAAGTTTTTAAAGGGCTTAAATGAGCAATAATGTCATGTTCGATCTCAAATCATGATGATTGAGTCCTTACCAGCCTTAGAAAAGAGTTTATCTCTTATTCTTGGTAAAGAAAAACATCTAACTCTCCCAAATTCATCCTTTTAAAACTATACCCTAACTTCTCTGGTTCAATCTCACAGTGGGGGTGATCGTGGTTTTTCGCAATATTTTTTCAAAGGTAGGTTTGCCACCATAAAAGTACAGTTCGCGATTAAAATTAGGACTCTAATCATATTTTTACTCATTGTGATAGAACCAACCCCACAATTTAAATCTATTATCCACCGGATTTTCAACATTGACCTAAGAACCCTTCTTTTAATTATTCCTCTACATAAGCACTTTTCTCAAATACATCTATCTATAATTCCAACAACTCTTTTAGTGTAAGATTTTAAGATCAATACCACAAACTCTGTAATCTTCTTCAATAATATTACACAAGCAGAACTCCTCAGATTTCCACACCTCTTGATTCCAACATCAACTTTGTAATCTCAACCACTGGCAATTTCAATGCCATGTCCTCACCTTTTGGCAAGAATTTCATACATTGGATCATTGATACTAGGGCTACTCACCATATAACTTATTCTTTATCAAATTTTTATCACTATAATACTATTCCAGCTTTTACTATGAACATGCCTAATGGCAGTATAACAAATTCAACAATTTCTGGAACTGTGATCCTTTCAAAATTCATTACCCTTCATAACTTTTATTACATACCTTCTTTAAATGTTAACTTGATTTCTGTTACCTAATTAACTTGGGCTTTTGATTGTTTTTTAAATTTTCACACCGATAAATTCTCTGAGAATGATTTGTTTAGCTAAAATATTTGGTGACCTATATGTTTTATATGCTCAACCCTTAATCTTGTATTTCTTTTCTGGCTTCTAGTTTTAGTACTACTTCTACCTTAGAAAATAATGCAAAAATATGGCACATTAGGCTAGGACATGTTTCTAACTTCATACACAAAATAAATTTTTGTTTAATTTCCTTTTATTCCTTTTAATAAAACCAATCCTTATTATACATGTTACTTCTTTTAAACTTAAGAATTTTCCTTATCCTATTATTACTAGTTCTTCTTCTAAATTTTTTGATCCTGTGCATGGGGAACCATATTATATCCATTGTATTGATGAACACAAATACTTTATAATTCTTGTTGATGATTACGGTAGCTTTACTTTGATAATTTTGATGAAATTAAATTAAATTAAATGGTGAAATAAGAAAACATCTTCCTACTTTCATTTTCTTTATTGAAAATCAATTTTTTACATCTTTAAAATATTTTAGAAGTGATAATGACCCTTAAGTTTTAATGCATAATATTTTTAACTCTAAAAGGTGTTTTACATCAACGTTTTTGTGTTGAGTTCCCTCAACAAAGTAGTTAGATTAAATGGAGACATCAACTCATTTTGAATGTGGTTAGAACTCTTTCTTCTCAAGTTAACTAGTGGAAAACTCGTGTGTCTGTACGGATTATGATATGATACGCTTTTGTTTTTAAAATATAATAAAGTAATTAGAAAAGTGAAATAAATTAGAATATATCAAAATATTAGTAAAAAAAAAAGACAAAAAATAGAGTGAAAAATAACTATATAAGTTTTAAAAATAACTATCGTTAACAAAAAGTATTAAACACATACGTTGTAAAAACAATTGTGAAAAATAGAGAAAAAAATATTTTGTTAGAGTCGATAGAGTTGTAATAATAAAAGAATTTGTAAAATTTAATAAATAAGATAAATAAATATCCAAAATTAGAATTAGTTGAAAATCAATAGTAAAATAAT